TCTACTCCAGGACTCTCAGTTCATTTTTCCTGATCGTATTAGCTAGCTTTCCTATTGTTAGATATAATACCTGACACTCACCTTAAAGGAAGAAAGGTTTAATTGAGCTCACGTTTCAAAGGATGCAATTTATGACCCTGAGTTTTCAGGGCAGGAAGGTCATGGTGGAAGGAGAAAGGTTTTCAATGCAGGAAGTATAGCAGGTGCGTAGCATCAGAGATGAGCAGGTGAGGGACTGTCTCTAGTGCCCACGACACACCTTCTTGTCCTCCTCCATGCTGCCCAGCTCGTGCAGGAACTTGCTCTATTCATCTGGGAGGCATTTCTTGATACATTGCGGTACCAAGATTAACAGTGATGCTGATAGTAATTTACTTGCTGTCCATATGACTTGGTTTATCGTGGACACTGTGGTCTTTTGTGACTGGTTTCTTTGGTTTAATGTAATATTTTCAAGGTTCACCTAAGTTATCGTATGTATCAGTACTTCAGACTTTCGAATGGCCAGTGTTCCATTGTATCAACATTCCACATTTTGTTTATGCATTCATCAGTTGATACACTTCTGGGTGTTACCTTCATTTTTTGGCTGTCACAGAAGATTTTATGCACAGACTTTTTTTTTTTTTTTTTTAAATTTTATTTATTTTGTGTGTGTGTGTGTGTGTGGCCAGCTCAGCCCACCAGGGGGCAGGGCGGGCTGGCATGTGGTGCTGGGGGATTGAACCAGGGTCCTGATGCTTTGCTGAGCTTGTTCCAAGTAGGTGCTTTAGACCACTGAGCCATCTCACCAGCCCCTATGCACAGACTTTTACATGGACATATATTTTCTTTTTTTTTTTTTAATATTTATTTATTTTTTTTTTGTGTGTGTGGCCAGCTCAGCCCACCAGGGGGCGGGGCTGGCTGGCTGGCATGTGGTGCTTGGGGTTTGACCGTGGTTTCCTGTGCTTTGTTTAGCTTAGCTTGTTCTAAGTAGGTGCTTTAGACCACTGCGCCATCTCGCCAGCCCCACATGGACATATATTTTCATTCCTCTGGGGAGATATAGATATAGATATATCTAGGAATGGAATTGCTGAGTCATGTGATAATTCTGTTTGACCATTTGAGGAACTATTAGATTTTAACAAAGTAGCCATGCTACTGTACTTATTTACTGTTAGTACTGCCTGAGGGTTCCAACTCTTCATATCCTTGCCAATGCTTGTTATTGTTTGCCATTTGAATATACCCATGCTACTGGATATGGAATGATGTATAATGATTTTATGTTTCCCTGATGGCTAATGATGTAGGCATGTTCTTATATGTCTACTGGCCATTTGGGTCTTTGAAGAGCTGTCTGTTCACATCCTTTGTTTATTTTGAGTTGTTCATCTTTTACTGAGTTGTAAGTGTTGTATATACAGGAATCTTACAAAATATATGGTTTACAAATGTTTTGTCTGGTTCTGTGGGCTCTTTTTACTTAAAAAAAAAAAAATATTTCTGGCGCTGGGATTGAAACCAGCATTTCATGACTGGGCAATCTTTCCATCTGAACCACATCCACATCTCCACTTTTTTGATATTGTGTTTTGAACCACACAAGTTTTTAAGTCCAGGGTAGTGTTTATTTTTTCTTTGAGTACTGGAGATTGAATCTACAGCCTTTCCACTGAGCTGCATTCCCAACCCATTATTTATTTATTTATTTATTTGCAGTACCGGGGATTGAACTCAGGACCTTGCGTTTGCCAGGCAAGTGCTTATTCTACTGAGCTATCTCCCCAGCCCTTAATTCTAACTGTACTTAAAAAATAAATAAATAAATAAATACCCAGCAATATGCTTGTGATATAAGTACAAAAAAAGAAAGAAAGAAAAAAAAAACACAAAATGAGATTTCTGGCACTCCTCTGTACTCCCAGCACTCAGGAGGCTGAGGCAGAACAATTGTTGAAAAGTTTGAGGCCAGATTCAGCTACATAGGGAGACTGGGTCTCAAAAAATTTTCTTGTTTTGTAACTACACCAGGTTGCTGTAATTTTCTTGCAAAGGAGAAAGTTGTTGGCCAGGGAGCTTCCATAGAGGTAGCTTTTGATTTTCTCCCAGGGAGCTCCATGCGGTGTGGGCTCTGGGGGGACACAGGTGGGGGGCTGGCTGCCCTCCCGCCCAGTAGTCTCCACAGGGGCCAGGACCTGGGGGTCAGGGTCTGCTCATTGTCCCCAGATCCATCTCTCCCTTTTCCTTTTCCCTCTTTTTTCTTTTTTTAATTTTAAAATCCAAATAGAGTAATTTATTGTCTTCATTCTTCAAATAAAAAATCTTGGTCTCACAGAATCTTAATTTGTTTGTTTACTGCACTAGGGCCTTGGCCCAGAACCACATCCCCAGGTCACCCTGACACAGGGAGGAAAAAATGATCTCCGGTGGATGACCTCCAAGTGATGTAGGGGGAAAAATGAAACTCCCAACCTGAAACATACCTGAGACAAGTTCGTGCTCTCTCTAAAACCAAAGAATGAATTTTAGGAACAAATGGAGGTTATGAGCACAATATATTTATTGATGGAAAGAAAGCTGCTGTCCAAGAGAGGGACAGGAGGGGGAGCCTGAGCGGGTTGTCTCCCTGTATTTTTTAAAAGAGAGTCTTTGTTTAATTGCCTAAGAGGGACTCAAACTTGCATGCCCCCCAAAGTGCTGGGACTGTGGGAATGTGCTCCTGCCCCTACCTCTTTTGTTGCTTTTTTGGCTTTAGATTCTATTGCAAAATCTGAGTTCATGACGATTTATCCTTAAGGTGTTTTTAGATAGGGCCTTGCTATGAAGTTCAGGCTGTCCTTGAACTGTGGTGATCCTCCTGCCTCTGCCTCTGCCTCCCAAGCACTGGAATTACAGGCTACAACGCAGGTGCCACCATACCCAGCACTTTCATGTTTTCAAGATTATTTTGCTTAGTAGAGTTATTTGCAATTCCATGTGAATTTGAGAATCAGCTTGATAATTTCTACAAAGAAGCAGCCCCAGTCCAAAAGTGATCAAATTAAAGCGTTAGATCACTTCAGGGAGATTGCCTTCAGTATCAAGTCTTCCAGTCCGTGGACATAGGACATGAGTTTTCTTTCCATGTATCTAGATCATCGTGAATTTTGTTTTTCAGTGATGTTCTTTATACAGTAAAAATTTTGCACTTTTATTAAATTTATACCTGAGGTTTTGAGGGAGCAGGGACGAGAGAGGACAGTGCTAGAAAAGAGTTCATTTTAAGTTTCTTCACTACAAGAGTAAGGAAATAGAATTTATTTTTGCATATTATTTTTGTATCCATCAACCCTGAACTCATTCATTAGTTCTATTACTTTTGTTTTGTTTTTTTAGTTGATTCTTAGTCTTTTTTTTTCCTGTGTAAAAGATCACATCATCTGTGAATAGAGATGATTTTGCTTCTTCCTTTTTTTTTTTTGCGGAACCAGGGACTGAACTCAGGCCCTTGCGCTTGCTAAGGAAGCGCTTATTCCGCTGAGCCATCTCCCCAGCTCCTGCTTCTTCCTTTCTAATCTGGTTACCTTTTATTTATTACTCTTGGCCGGTTGTCGTAGCCAGAATGAGAACCTCTAAGAGAACGTTGAAGCTACCAGAGCAGGCATCATTATTTTTTCTTTTTTGAGACAGAGTCTCCCTGTGTAGTTCCACTGGCCTTGAACTTACTTTGTAGTCCAGGCTGGCCTCACAGCAGTCCTCCTGCTTCAGCCTCCCAAGTGTTAGGATTACAGGCATGCCCCCACTGCGTCTACTGTGAGCAGATGTCCTTGTCTTCTTTCTGATTTTTGGCAAAAAGGGGAAGTATCCATATTAAATATGATATTTAGCATATTAAGTATGTCTGCATATGATAGTATAACTGTGAGGTACTCATAGATGCTTTTTGTCAGATTGAGATTCTCATATTTTTTGTTTGTTGGTATTTTATTGTGAAAAGGTATTAGATTTTGTCAAATGGGCCTTTTTGTGCTTATTGAAATCATAATGTGAGGTTTTAAAATAATGTATGGTAGTACATTAACTGATTTTTTTTTGGTGTTAAGTCAGCCTTGCATACGTGGGATAGATCTACTTGGACTTGGTATGTAACTATTTTATATGTTGGAGGATTCTTTTGCTAGTATTTTGTTAAAAGGATCTTTGTATCTCTAATCATAGATCTGAATTTTCTTGTGATTTCTTTGGCTTTGCAGTCAGGGTCATAGTGGCTTCTTAGGAGATGGTTGGAAGTCCCGCTCCTGTATGTTTTGGAAGATTTAGATTGATTTGGTATTTGGTATTTCTTTTCTAAATGTTTGAAAGAATTCAGCTTCACACAATGAAACCATCGAACTCATAGCATCCAACCTCAGGGGCTGGGCTTTCCTTTGTGGGTAGTTTTACAATCATCATCAATCGTATCTCCTTGCGAGGTCTCTTAGTTCACATCATATTTTTGAGGTATGTTTGGATAGTTTCTGTCTTTTTTGGAGTTTAGCTATTTCATCTATTTTATTGGCATAGCATCATTCCTTTGTTTTTGTATATCGAAGGTTGACAATAATGTATCCTCGTTTGAGTCTAGCTTTATTTTTTTCCTTGGTCTATCTAAAACTAAAGGTTTAACCATTTTGTCAATTTTTTCAAAGAATGATCTTTTGGTGTTACTGATTTTTTATTTTTGTTTTATAATTTTTTTGAGACAGGATTTTGCTATGTAGTGCAGGTGGGCTTTAAACTCAGTAGGTAGCTCAAGCTAGGCTCAAACCTGTGGGAATCCTCCTGCTGCAGTGCTGAGATTACAGGTGTGCGCCACCACACTCTCCTTGATTTTATTGATTTTTCAAAAGTCTGTTTCTTTGTCATAGTACTGTCCTCATACTAATAAAAATAGAAAATTATTTTAAAATTTGTTTTATATGCTAGAACTTTATTTTTTGAAGATTTTTCAAGTATTTTGAAATGTTTTCTGAGTGTTGCATTTGTTTGATCAGATTCTCATATCATTAACTCTGAAAACAATTTGAGAGAAAATGTCAGAAGCGGTTGTACCCTGCTGGCCAGTGACAGGTGTGGCCAGAAGAAACAGCACTTCATCACACAAGCTACTCAGACGAGCCCCGAGGCCCTGGGGCCCCCTCAGGTGGTCAGCTTTGTTGGATGCTCTTTTGACTGCACACGAGAGCAGGTAACATGAAGCCTAATCCAGATTCTATATCAGCAATTAAATTAAGTGTTAAGATACTAATAATTACAATGCTCTGTTTACTTATTTAAATAAAGTATATGGAGTTCCTTTTTGTACCTGAACACTGTGCTAGATGCTGTCTTTGATTATAGTGTTAAGCAAGATAAAAGAAAATACCTTAATTTTTTCTGCCTTGCTGCACTGCTGTCAGTATTGTGATTTAAAAAAAAATTCTCTAGATCTTTTCCACTTTTAAAAAAGTAATATTTAAGACTATATGTTATAGTTTTTTATTTAACATTGTTTAATACTTTTTCATATTGCTGCGTTTGCTTCATGCTTAATTTTAATGGCTGAGTGATATGGATGCGGCTGCGTTGTTACTTCTGAACCTTCCTCTTAACTTTATGTCAGCTTTCAAGCTGCTTTCTTTGTCATTATAAACAAAATATTCAGCAGAATTTTAGTTCAGTTTGATAGAACCACAGAATGAGTTCATTCATCTGTTCATCAGAGATTTACTGCATGACATTTCTGAATGAGGAATATATAATTGAGCAGTTTACTCTCTCTGTGCATTAAATAACTCAGTCTAGTGGCAAAGACAAAAGGTGGCCATGAGGCGCCATAGTGTGCATGCCAAGTGCTGTAGTACAGAGTTGGAGGGAACCGCAACTGAGGTACCTAACCTGGTCTGTAAGGCAGGAAGTCCTGGCTTGGGGATGGAAAAATTCTGAGAACGCTTGGAAATTAAAAATGTGTCTTTTAATGTGTCTATATAAAAACAAAGACCTTAGCTTTATTATATGCTTGTACTTAAGAGTTAGGGAGTGGCGCATCAGTGGCTTTAAGAGGACAAAGCATTTCAATTATGTATAGAGATCTGTTGACCACCCAGAAAACATCTGGAGCTTGGGAGAGAGGGTCGTGCTAGATCATGATTTCTGTGATAGAGTAGTTGAGCCACAGAAGTAGCCACAGAGTCATTCAAGAGAGTGACTCAAATGACAAGAGAAGATAATCTATGAAGTCTGATAGAACATGAAAATTCAGGGATTCCTGAGAAGATGAAAAAGAAGTTAATGTAAAAAGCATGAAAGAGATAGGAATATAAACCAGAAAAAAAGAGGGACTTAGGAAGAATTGGGGGATCGGCAATGTCGAAAGCCATGGACCAGTCTACATTCCCATTAGCAGTGCAGAAGGGTTCCTTCTTCCCCCACAGCCTCTCCAATATTTGTTGTTGCTTAATTTCTCTGTGATAGCCATTCCTTCTGGGATGAGATGGTATCTCAGTGTTGTTTTAATATGCATTTCACAAATGGCTAGTGATGTGGAGCATTTTTTCATGTATTTACTTCTTGTATTTCTTCTTCTTGTATTTCTTCTTCTGAGAAAAGATAAGATAGATACACAGCTACTTTCTCTTAGTTCAATGAGAAGAAAGTTTTGTACTAATATTGGTTAGACAAGGTATCATGTCTGCATCTTGTCCTCTGAATACTATGACGATAACAATATGCAGTGTATTATTTATTATAACTGTCATACTAACCTGTTTTGAAATTGGTTCATTGCTATTTTATCTTTTTTCCAATTAAAATGAATAAAAAAGTTTTTTTAGAAAGCCATGGAGAGATGTGATAGTGAAAGAAAAATCACAAGTTAGGAGTTAGCATTTCCAGTCAACATGGTCTTGCTATGCAGTTCAGGATGGCTTTGAGCTCACTTTGTAGCCCAAGCTGGCCTCGAACTTGGTACAGTCTTCCTGCTTCAGCCTTCCTGCCTTAGCCTTCCTAGTGTTGGGATTACAGGGGTATGCCACCACGCCCAGCAGGAACATTTTTAATTGTGTGACAGGTATTTCCAAATAGATTCTCAATTTAAGTGGACCTTCACCAGTTTAGGGTATTTTTACTATCTCAACTGTCATGCTTTGGATGGTATATAAAATACAGCATATCTCCTGGAAATGATTTAAATAATTTTATTTTTCAATTTATCTTTTTAGCTCATAGAAGAGAATGAATGTCTTAAGCAGGAACTGGCTAAAGCCAAAATGGCCCTTGCAGAGGCTCACTTGGAAAAAGATGCACTTCTTCATCAGATAAAGAAGATGACAGGTGAATAACAGCAGTGGTTCTCAGAACCCAGAGTACAGCTCAGGAGTAAGAAGGTTGTGTTTCGAGTGTACATGTTACCGTGCGTGGAAGACTTTCATTTTCAGGAAATTAAAGTGATACGGAATGTGGTGAAGTGGTGACTATCTCAAAGCCAGTTTGGAAAGTATTAGGTACAAACATTACAATCTTGTAGTTATTTTGCATTTGGGGATTCAACCCTTTTTTACACTGGTGTGATCCAGGGAAGTCCACACATACTGTAAAATAATTCCATGCTGATGATAACGAGATGTTATTTCCTAATTTTGATAATCTCATATAAGAATTTTTTTAAAAGAAAAGAAAACCTGTTGTGTTCACATGAATTACTGAATTTATTTCTCATTGTTTGTTAATAATTTGCTACTCTTTACAGAGATTCAAATGCTTTTAGGGCTCATGTAAAGTTAAAGGAGACTTACAGTTTAAATGTTATTGAAATGATGTATTTAAATCTATAATTATTTAATTACTGTAAAAGTCTAATTGAATTAATAAATTATATAATTAATAAGTTGAACTCTGAAAAACCCTACTGAACTTATTAAAGTAACTTGAAAATGTGAAAAAAGTCACTGTTAGATAATGGGTAAACTATGTAAATGGAAGCTACACTTTTCAACAAAAAGGTGATACAAATATAAAAAGCACAAATATTAGTATAGTCAAGTGATTTAAAAGGCATTACTTGTACATTCCTTTAAAATTTTATTGCTAAAGTAAAATTTGATTGTCCTAAATTTGGCAGCATTTGTAAGTATAAAAATTTTAATTAATACTATTTGTATTATTTCTTTACCTTTATCATTCCTCTTTAAGAAGAATGTTTTTGGGGAATGTGCCTTTCACACACTTAAAATAATTTCATACCATTCTTGTAATATATTAGATAGGTGTTTGCACATACTGAATTTATAAAGCTAGTTTTAATTAAAACTGTGATATATAAATATATATATATATATACATATATAATCTATGATATGAGTTATTGCTAAATTTTTAATTCTATTTTCTAGGAATTAAGGTTGAAAACAACATGAGAGGGAATGTTAATCATACTTTATGAAATAAAAGAATGTGAATGTAAAAGTCAAAGGCTTTGAAGATCTAAAGTATATCTCTGATAGAATTAAACTAGTTGGTGTCTATTTTAAAAATTCACTGTCTTAGACGTAGTCATATCCAAATTAGAAGAGGAAACACCTGGACTACCTTTTTTTTTTAAAGATACTTGAAAGTTCTGAATCATGTTGCCACACTTTCTGGTGCTTTGCTTGCTTGGCATGACTTATGAAGCTGACCTTACGCTGGGTGCTTGGGGGAAAAACACTCGTTTACATCTTGTTGGAATGATTTTGGTTTTGGTAAAACAGTTCTGGCCTTTTTTTCTTGTATGTCATCCATTGTCATTGACATTCCTTAAGTATGCAGAAACTGTTCTGGGAGCTGAGGACACAGGGAAGAACAAATTGAACTGTTATTTTACCACAGAGTATTTTACAAATTATGTGAAACTGTGCTAACCTAAAGCTGTATATTACCTGTAGATTAAATACAGAGGTCTAATTAAAGATTTAAACTGTATATCTTACATTTTTAAGTGGAGAGATTTTGATTTGTAGGTATGTACTTAGCAGAAACAGTCTCTATTATGGAAAAGGATTGATGAGACTTTAATTTCTTCTGAGCTGATGATGTTTCTATTACCTTGTTCTGTATTTTTTTTCCTGTGGCATAATTGCTTAATGTTATAGAAGCTGATTGTTTTCCTTATTCTTTTTAAGTGTATTTGACCTTCCCAAGAAAATCATATAAACAAGAGTTGATAAAATTCTGAACATTCTATGTGGTTTTTTGATTTTTAAAAAAAGAAATTATTTTTATAGAGGTTTAAAAATCATAATATACCTCCAAAAAATGTTGTGTCATGTAACATCTAGTTCCTTCAATAAAAGATGAGAGCTTGATATTATTCAACTCTTGGAAGTCTCTGAAAGGAAAAGTGAGTGAACGAAAATTATAAATACAACCTGATCTTTTGACTTAAGCTCACTTACTTTTCTTTTAGCTTAATCATTACTTCACAGGTTTTGCAGGGGCAGGGGTGAAAGGAAGAATTATTGTCTCACCTCTTTCCGTTTAAGATGATTATATACTTAAGCAATGTGTGTATGTGTGTTGTTGTGTTATGTGTATATGATTGCAACCACTTAAAACATTTATGTTCCATTAAGTTAACCCCCAGCTGTTTGGCAATGTAAGAAGTACAAACTCATCAAGGTTTTTAAAATGATTATAAAGTGGTCATACTGTGAAATATTTTGGTTACTTTCTGGAAGATGGATGTTAATGATTAGGAGATGGAAATGGTAATTGTGCTTTGCTTTTTATTTGTTTTTGTTTTGGGGAGAGTCTTAGTTTGTTTCATTTTTATTTTTAGTCGGTGCATGATGCTTTGACTTATGTATGCATTGAAGAATGACTAAATCAAACTAACGTGTGCCTTATTTCACTTCTGTGTGTTAAGAATATTTAAATCTGCTCCATAGTATTTTTCTATATACAATACAGTTGTTAATTATTCTTACCATGGTGTACAATAGATCTCTTGAACTTATTTCTTCACCTAAAATTTTGTGCCCTTTCACAAACACTCCTACATATCTCTACCGCCTTTGATAATAATTATTTTACTCTCCATTCCTGTGAGTTTAGCTTTTTTACATTTCACATATGAGCAAGATCATGTAGCATTTGTGTCCCGCTGCCTGGCTTATGTTAGGACATAAGCCTAACACATTCATCCATGTCATGAGAAATGACAGGATGTTCTAAATTTTTTTTGAGACTGGGTCTCGCTATGTGTGTAGTTTAGGCTGACCTTGAACTCCCTATGGAGCCTAGATGGGCCTGGAGCTCACAGCGACCCGTGTGCCTCAGCCACACTCCTGAGTGTTAGGATTGTAGGCTGCACCAGCACACCCACATAGTCTGCATATCTTCATCTGTTTGTTGGCACCTTAATGGTTCCCTAACTTGGATCTTGTGCATATTGTTGGAGATGGTATTCTGCATTCTCACCAACACTTGTTTCTCAGCTTACAGTAACTATTCTAATAGGTGTAGGGTACTGCTGTGGTTTTAATTTGCATTCCCTAATGATTGGTGAGTTTGAGCATTTTTTTCATATTCCTGTTGAACATTTGTATATCTTGAAGAACTGTCTGTTAACCCATTTGCCCACTTTTAATTGTGTTTTGTTTTCTTGCTATTGAGGTTTTTATATATTTTGCATGCTAACCCCTTATCAGATATATGGTATGAATATATGTTGTCCTATGCTATAGGTTGTCTCTTAACTCTTGATTGCTTCTTTTGCTGTACACAAAAGCTTTTTGTTGGCTATAATCCTATTTGTCTGGTTTGCCTTCATTGCATGTGCTTTGGGGATTATATCCAGAAAATCTTTAGCTAGACCAATCTCATGAAACTTTCTTCTGTTTTTGTCTAGCATTTTAACAGCTTCTGGTTATGTGTTTAAGTCTTTTGGCCAACTTGAATTGATTTTTATATATGGTACGAGATGAGAAGACACGAATGAAGACAGTTCTTTCAGCCCCAGTTGAAGGTGTGCTCTCCATTCTGTGCTCTTGGTGTCTGTTGAAGATCAGTTCATCATAAGTGCATGGATTTATTTTGGGGCTGTTTTATTCTTTTGGTCTGTGTCTTTAGGCCAGTACCATGCTGTTTGGATTACCATAGCATTGTTGGAATTTTTGTGCTTCTTTTAAATTTTATGTATGTCAAAAACATCTCTGAGGAATCTTGTAGTTTTTTCTTTTCTCATTTTAGAATTTCAAAATACCATTAGATGATAGTAATTGTGATCAGAGCATTATTCTTAATTAAGCCTTACAGGGATGGCTATGTATAATCACAGGCAAATATGTATGTTAAAAAATAACCAGAAAAACTTTTCTGGGTTGTTTTTGTTGTTCTTCAGGGCGTGTCATCATGAAGGTTATACTTCATCTAACAGTTTTCTTTTAGCCTACAATCTCATCAAGGCACCTTTCTATCTCATCGAAAGGCACCATTATTCATGCTGTTTCTGAAACTGGCATCTTGGAAGTTCTATTGGAATGCCTTTTTTTCCCATCAGTTCGTCACTAAGTGCTGCCATTTCCCTCTTGCAAATCTCTCTCAAGATTCTGTGCTTAAAACTCTTACCACTTCCTAATCTAAGCCACCATCAGCTCCTTTTCCCTGCATTACTGCAGCTGTCTCCTAACAGGTCTTGTAACAGTCTCCTGCAGCTGCTCTAGTCCTCTGGGAATCATGCTCTTCACTGAAACTGGGATTCCCTTTTTTTGTTCAAAGTACAATTTTAATCAAGGCAAATCACCTACTTCCACACTCAACCCTAGCTTAAAATACATCAAATGGCTTTTAATTGTTTTTATAATGAAAAAGTATTTAATGTGACCTGTGAGGTCACATGTACTAGGGCTACTGTCTATGCAGTAGTTCAGAGCATTAATTAATTCATGTCTGAAAGGTTAAAACTGGCTCAACACCTAAAAGACACTTGGTGCGAGTTACTATTATCATTACCACTTAGCCTTGTTTTGTACCGTGTTTCATGTTCTCTGTGCTCTACCCTCACTGCCGTTCTTTAAGTGCTTGGGGTGGGCACTCACAGCACTTTGTCCATCGTAGTGCTTTGGTTCACATACTACATTGAACTACACACCCCTCCTCACTGCCTAGGTCAGCCCTGTTTGTGTCTCAGAGTCTGCCCCAGATTTCTGCAGCAGAGTAAGACCAGCTGTTCCACATGACTGCACAGCTCTACTTAGCACATAATGCCCTTATGGATTTTTAATTGTAAATGTATTTGTTCAGTTAGAGCCAGACCTACTAGACTGTAAACTCCGTGACAATAGGGATTGCATTTTGGGTGCTGTTCAATTTTTATTTACTGTTTATTTTTTAAAATTTATTTTATTATTTTTTAAAGAATACAAAATTGTAATAATAAAAGAAAAATTAGAAATGGTACAGAATTTCACTACACAAAATAATATGAATTCAACAGTGTTCATTGTATTGCATATTGTTTAGATTACCAGATATGTGCATGCAGAATTGGATAAAAAATGTAAGAATTTAAGAGGAGAGAAAGAGGGATAAAAAATGAAAAAAATTAAATATGAACTCCTTTCCATGGACTAGCAGTATTCCACAGTACAGTTATCCAAGCCATCCTGCATATGCACATAGATATATCTCCTTTCCCCCCTTCCTTCTCCTGTTCTTCTCTTCATTTTAGTAGTTTCTTCCTTTTGAATAGATTCATTCCCTCTTCACAGTATCTGTTTCTTTGAGATTTTATTTACTCTTTCAGGTTCTTAAACTAGCGAGACAATTTAGTGTTTGCACATGTGGGTATAATTTATTTTACTTAAAGAGTATGGTCTCTAGTTGCATGCATTTGCTAAGAAAAGCCTCACATTTTGTATTTTTTGTGCATCATACAGTCCCTGACACAGAAGTTGCTCAGTAAATTTATTGAAAGAACAGAGTGGAAAACTGAGGTATCAGGGTTGAGGATACAAGGTCCTGAGTTTGATTCCCAGTACCAAAAAACAAAAACCCAACAATAAGTGAGATAATCAAGCAGGTTTTCTAGGTATTGAATTCTTTCTGTCATTTGTGTTGAAGAGAGATGGAACACAGAAGAGTAGCTGTTGGTGATTATCGAGAAGGGACAGACTTATGCCATTCTGTGTCCAGGACTGGGAATATCTGACCTTCTAATTGAATTGTCATAGAACAGAAAATAAGCACATCTTCTCATGGTGCTGCTGCAGTGCTGGGATGTCAGCTGGCTTTTGTCATAGCAGATGGTGTTGTGGCTGTTAGATCTGCCAACCCATGTGCTAAACAGAATGGAAATAAGGCCCAACGAGTGGTGGGTGAAACACTTTCTCTTTGGGAACCTGATTGATAACATAAATTTAAGTTGTGCCTCATTCTTCTTCTTCTTTTTTTTTTTTAATAATTTTATTGAGAAACAAATAGCAATGAGACAGTTTCAAAACCAGCTAGTAGGACAGTTTCAATAATTAATACATTGCATATTGTTGTCTTGGTGGTTATTCATTGTACAAGATGCAGACATGATATCCTGTCCATGAACACTATTAGAACAAATCTTATTCATTGAATTAAGAGAATGCAGCTGTATATCTATCCTATTTTGAATATACAGATATAAAATGGTCTCACATTTGTATCCCCTTTTTTGTTTAGTTTTGTCAGAGAAGGGTATTCCATTGTCGTTTAAATATTGTAGGTGCGTGAATTCAGCAAAATATTCCAATATAGTCCAGTAGTCCATAATAGTAGTGGGTCATCTGCAGGACTGGCAATGTAGCCTGATATTCTGGAACAGACTGTATTTCATGATGTCAGCACTATGCTTCTCCCTTTGCAGATGACAGGTCTGAATCTTAGAGGGTCTTGGATTATAAACTCAAAGTAGCACACCTCCTGCCTGGACTCCTCATTATCCCACCCCAAGCTGTGATTTTTCTTATATGCTGCTTCATAGTCTCTGCAGTTGTGCCTCACTCTTAATGGGAAAACACTCCCATTTTAGCCTGTACCTAGAGGTGCCCTGAAAGGAAATTTTGAGCTGTTTCAATTTTCTTTCTGAGTCCATCAGAAGTTGGGGGCTAGGGAGATACCCAGTGGCATAAGTGCCCGCCTGGCAAGTACAAGGTCCTAAGTTCGATCCTTGGTACCACAAAAAAAGTTGAAATTTCCTGCCGTAGAGCCAC